AAGACAGTGCTTGCTATGACGACTGTGGCCTCCTTGGCAACGTGGGTCCTTGGTTTCCATGCCTCATAGATGTCAAGTTCGTCTTCATATGTCTATAGTCTATATTTATATAGACTTATTTATGTGCTACTTTGCCCTGCTATGCTTAAGATGTTGATGCAGGTGCGACTTCGGATGATAAGGTCGTCGGTGCCCCTAATTGGTGTCATAAAGATCGCTTCCGCGTTCTCCGTCCCAACTTGATTATGTACAAGTGTTCCCTGCAGTGTTTGCGTGCGGATTTCTGGATCATCTCTTGCCCGGCGCACAATTTGAAGAATCTCAACTTGCTGCACGCCAAGTGCGTCCCTGAAGGCAGCTTGTGATGTACCATACGACAATGTTGTTTCAGGGTCAGCTGCTGCAAAAGAGACCTCCATACACTTGACTCAGGACTATGTGCGTTTGAACTAGGGCCTAGGGTTTTGATGTTCAAGTGCATATCTGAAACGCACTACTTTTGCTTGGAACACTTCTATAGCCTGCTTTGTGTGGTTCTTGCAGGGTCCTTGTGTATGGTATGTTTGGACGCGTGCTTTCGCCATGCTACTTCCAAAGCTCATGTTTTAGGAAACACAAATAGTCTGAGAGTCAGGGAACGTTTACAGCGGCGTAAGCTTGTTGTTGCACGCCCTTGGTGGTCATATGCATATGCTTCACACAGGAAAAGATTAAGACACTAGGTACACTTTCACTCCCCCCGGTCGCAAAAAAAAGGAGGTAGCTGTGTGAGTGATGGCTGTGGTTGGCAAGGTACAAGTCCAAAGTGCTGCACCCGGAGCTTTTCACTTCCAAAGTGAAGGACGAATGGCTGGACCCAGCCTTTGGCAAGGCCATGTGGACTTTTACACCATGGACAATGGACACAGCTAGTCATTTAATTATATATATATATGATATATATATATACATGATATATATATATATATTAGTGAAACACAGTGAAACAGGCTAGCCAAATCGTGCGAAGCTTTTCCGCATATGAAGATGGTGCAGGCGATGAAGGAGAACACCCCCAGTGCATGGCGGAAGATCCTCACTGAAGAGATCCCTGGGGTGACACTTGGCCCAACAAACTGCTGAACCAACGAGAAGATCTGACCCGAACAAGTTGTTCAAAGACTGACAGCCTAGCTTAGAAGAAGGTCAATACATATATAAATGGGATTGGTGACTACTGTATTAATCGCTATGACTTGTGACTGAGGTATTCGTTCAAGTTGGTCACAGAGGTTGGCTGGTTTTCGTTCCTGTTCGCAAACTCTCTTGTTTGTGGGTTCGGTCTCGCCAATCTTGCTGCCATCGAAAGGCTTTTTGTGACACATTCTTGGAAGAGGTCTTCAACTTCTACAAGAGTCACCAGCCTGCATATTTACACTTTTTGTTGTGGATACTGACCTAGGCACTAAGCTGTAATGGATGGTTGCTCTCTAAATAGAAGCACTGGACGGCCAGGGCCTTTCTGGCCCATGTGCTACAGATGCAAATGTTTATTCTTCATGCGTCATCCGCCATGCGCTTTACTGCCTAGCAGAGGTGGTCTTCCAGCAAAACGTCCCAACAGCCACTCGGATGAGATTTATTGGAGACACCTGGGTGGTGATTTGAGCTTTTTGAATACACACTAACAGATGCTCTGTGACACTGAATTCCCAGAGCTTGGGATTGCACAGTTATTCTCATTGCTAAGATTCCGTTATTTGGTGAGGATCGAGAGAACGCCAGGTTCAGTTTCCAAGGTATGAATGCATATGGAATCATTCTCAATGACATTGGCATGGAGCCGCTGATCGATGAGCTGCAGCAGCAGGCTAAGAGTGCAGATTCATTTTCCAACAAGTATGGCATGATCAAGTTGTACAACGCGCTTGCCTCACCCATGTTTGTGCACGGACGCTGACTTCATTGGTTTAATCTGAAGTGACTCAAATGACTCCGCTGCGCTGAACCCGAGGCGTGTCCTGCAGCCGCTCGGTGAGTTGCTCTTCCCAGGTCCTGGAAACTGCTGGGTCCTTTGGTTGCAGAAGCGATTGTTTCATGTTGCTTGAGACTCAGTCTCAATCTGTTTTGAATTAATGGGCATCGCTACTAGGAGCAATAAGCTACTAGTAGCTCCTGGCCTTATTACTAGTAACAAGGACGCTACTAGGAACAAAGGGCATCGCTACTAGTAACAAGTGCATCGCTACCAGTAGTTCCATGCTCAGGACGGTCACCATTGCTTCATTGCACCTTGTTTGCACGATGGACCAGCCTCAGGCACCCGTCTGGATTCAAAGAGTAGTTATTGACTCGCATTCGGCCCTTTCGCCCCTTTCAAACCTGTCTTGGCATCCACAGGTGTATGTTTTCCTTCTTGAAACTGATGTTTTGAGACACCCGATACCCACGTAGGAATGGTGATTGAACTTAGAGAATCCGTAGGCATTCAATAGGAATCGATTGTTTTACAGGCTGAAAGATTAAAAGCCAGATTTCAACACTGCTGTGAGCAAGCTTTTAACACACCACTTCCTGAACTGATTAGAACATTCATTTCCTGCTGTCTCTGGCACATGCGAGCTCAGGTCCGCTATCGCTCGGGTGAAGATCTGGGGCTAGATATGCACACAGACGACTCGGACGGGTGGGTTGGATAAATGCAAGAGGGCATTTTATGTGCAGAAAGAAAGGCAACAATCGGCACGAGCAAACAGCAGACTCAAAAAATCCTTTCGCTGTTCGTTTTGACACAAGCCTCAAAACCAGCAAGTCTCCCCACAAGCTTGGTTCTCGACCGTGCAAGGACGTGACGTTCAATCTTTGCCTTGGCTTGGACTTCACTGGAGCTGGCTTGCAGTTCTGTGGGATGTCTGGTGCACCTGACCATCGAAAGCACCGACACTCTTACTTCCATCGCAAGGCCTCAATCGATTTGATTGGTTGGGGGTTGTCCGTAAGTTTATGTAAGTTTAGCTTAAGCTAGGTGAACTAGTTTGCAACTTGTGGCATCGCCATTGCATCGTGATTGTGTTTGACTTTGACTTCGACTTTGACGTTAACTTTCTTTCTTTCTTTCTTTCTTGCTTGCTTGCTTGCTTGCTTGCTTGCTTGTAAGCAGAAGTTGTCGACGAGACGCGTTCCTTCATTGCCGCTTCATGTGAGGGCCATTGTGTGATGCATCTTGGTCGCCGTCGACACGGAGCAGATGACATCACGCTCCTTGCCACAATGAAGGACCACAAAATCGGAGGTTCTGTCGCCCTTTTATACAGCCTTTAAGAAATGGATCTTGTATTTTGGAGGTGTCTTGCTCGAGCCCAAGCTGTGTCACCGACGGACATTGTACAGAAATCCTTCACCCACCATTTTCCATAATGAGAAGGTGAAAGAGTCGGATTTGCGGAACAAGAAGCTACTAGTAACTCATCGCTACTAGTACCAAGGGCATTGCTACTAGTTACTAGTAGCAAGAACCTATTACTAGCGACGCCCAGAAAACACGTCATTTGACCCAGAAAGAACAAAGCACCACAGGTCAGGGGAGCGCTTGAATCTAATCTTGTGGAACCACTCCAGCACGAAGCTTGCCAGCATTGGAGAATAGATTTCGAAAGACTTGAATTAGCACATGTTCCTCCACTGACAGCAAGGTACAGATCTAGTGCCTTGGACTGCAGTGCTCAGATTCGGAAAGTCTTCGCCATGCGGGGCCCGTGTCTCTACCTTTAGAGAGTGAAACCATGTGAAACCCAAGCCACTGATGCTGAACAGGTGAAGAGTCTGAGAGTCCTCCCTACGACGCGGAGACAGGTCCCCCTGAGCAATCATTCTTCAACTGTGATTCAATCCTAAGAATGCATTCCTGAAAATGACGCAAAGTTGACGTTGATCAGACACTAACAAATATACTGTATATACACTGTATACTAGTGTATATTATATACACTGCATATAATTTACAATTACAACTTTCTACAACAACTCGAAGTTTCTTGGTGCATTAGTTGATTCATCTATCTACCAACAGATAGCTTTTGACATCGCTGTGTGGCGCAGGGCCTCCGGATCCAGTTTGTGTCAGCTACACTCATGATCGGGACTTCGGCAACTTCAAGGTGCAAGCCAATTAAACATGTGAGAGATGTGCACAAGCTTGGTGGAGTCCAAAGATGATCTATTGTAGAACCTGGTTGATGGGAGAAAGCACTCCGTCCTGTTAGAAATGGCCAGCCCTTGCTCCTTGCTGAATGTGAGGCCTATCCGAAGGGCAAAGAGCACTTTCGTGGCCGGGGCTGGTGCCCGCGCCGAAGCTTTGAGTATCCAGGAGAAGTGCCATTGGCTGAAAGATTTATGGAGGATTGGGGCAGGTGCTGTAGACTAGACAGAATTCACAGGGCATGCATGTTTCTAGCTTGTCCTCGCACCCATTGACTGTATTGCTCCAGGATTCGAACCAGACTGTCCGAGACTCATCCATCCATCCCGAGTTTTGAAGCCTTTTCGTCTATTTTTTGTCGGACTCTTGGCTTTGTTGAGGTGAAAGCGAGGAGGAAGACAGACATGCCTGACACGACTAGAAACACTCTGATTCTTGTCATGGTGTCCAGATGGTTTCTGAAATGACGTCACGGGCAATTCTTTGTTATTTTAAAGCAGAGGATTTGATCCAATCTGGACATCTCTTTGTTGGCCGTGTACATATGCTCATTTCGTCTGGCTTCCAGCCTCCGTCGATGCGAGGAAACAGGCCGGGCTGAGGCTACTTTCCCAAATGCGTGACTTGTGACTTTCGCCACGCAAACCAAAGAAAGACAGGTTGATTTGTCCAATGGTTGCAAGATGGAAATTTACAATTTTTTTGGGAAGGTGTCCTTCCATGGTGGCTTTGAGGTCCGCCCATGGCAAGTGACCTGCAAACAGATTTGCCAGAAAGAATTGCAATTTACAATGCTTTCATTGGGAACAAACAAAGGCTGCCAGTCCGAGTATTTTCTTTCAGCCTTGTCTCAGAATTCTTTCTGTCGAAAACCTCTGTGGGAGAGATGCGCTGTGGGCCCTCGCAGAAGCAAAGCGACGGACGCTCTCAAAGTTGGGCCAAAACGACCCGGTTGTTCTTCGACGAATGGGTTGGCCTGGTTCTTTCCAGGTGGTGGGCAGCACCAGCGACCAGGGCCAAAGAGCAGGCGAGGGATCGAACGGAACCACTCTTTACGTCGCAAAAGCGGTCCAATCCACGGCGACGATGAATTCGCCTCGAGCGTTCACCTGGGCAAATGGGGGACAGGCGCGACAAGAGCAAATGGCCAGGAAAGCTGCACACAGAAACACAATGGACCGTGGACAAGGATGTTTCTGCATTGCTGCGGCCACGTTGAACACAAGTGACGCGTGCCTGGATTGGGCTGAGCACTTCATTCATCAAGTATCGTCAAGTCCCGTTTTTGCTGCGACGTGTTTCCGAACACCAGCAACCTCAAGTTACTACAGCACAGACAATAATTCTTTTGAGAGTTGATTTTGTCAGCTGAGAAGCTTCAAAGAAGATCGTGGCTTGTCAATTCTCTTGGAAGTTTCTTTTGCCCGTGCAGGACACGCAGTTTGACATGTACAGGTGCTCTTCCATCTCAAAAGCACAGATCCTGATCTTCCGAGGTTGGAAAGACTGGCGGGTCGCAGTTGAGCGGTTGTTGTTGGAGGCATTTTGTCCAAAATATCGTAGAACCAAATTGTCAAGCCTGAGCCCTTCTGCGTCCAAGCCTAAGAAACTACTTAAGCTTAGTAGCTGCTACTACTCCTACTGCTACTGCTACTGCTACTGCTACTGCTACTGCTACTGCTACTGCTACT